GTTTCTTCCATGCTGACTGATTTCAGAAGCATCAGTTGGGGCATCTTTTAACCCCTTCCCCTCTCCTTGTCAGTTTCATCCATGCAATTTTCCTTCCACGTATTCTGACAGTTTACAGAGTCGGCCCCCACCCCCAATCCTACCCCACCCACCAGACAGACACCACATCCCCACCCCACCCCCGTAAACGGCGTCAACAGATATACTTGCAGGTCCACCTCCCACAGGTCTTGAAAATGACAGGGTGCGAAAGGAGATCAGGGTGCATCAGGAATGATGCTGGTGAGGACTGTTCCAAGGGAGAAGGAATAAAAGACTGCTAGCAAACTCTACTTCTGCCATTGAGCAAAGCTGATTGGTGGATGGTTGTTGCCGGGTTACAGGAGTGAAGATGGAGTAAAGGCCTTCCCAAAGGAGTTCAGCTTTCAGTTTTCTTCCCCCCACCCACCCAAGAATAATCCCTGAAGGGGGAGAAGCTGCAGAAGCCGTGCAAACTGCTCCCCGGCCCTCACCGTACAAGCACATCAACGCTCAGCATATTCCTCCTTAGCACTCTGTTGTTTTTTCTTTTATCTCTTTTTCTTTTATCTCTGCGTACGAAGAGTTAATCCTCAGCAGCAAAGCAACTGGAAAGCGAAGATGTTAGTTGAAACTGACAAATCCAGTCCTCCGTAAGCAGCCAGCAAATAGGATGTGAGAGCAGCAATCAGAAGTCAGTCTCATAAATAAGCAAACCTGGTTGTGCTGCTCCCCAGCAGGAGGAAGGCTCCTTTACTCCAGGGCTGCCGCTGCCACCTGAGAGCAAAGTAGGAACTCAAGTTCACGCAGAGTTCCTTGCTGACACTCCAAAAGAAAACTTAGGAGAGAATGACAGAAGGGGAGCAGAAGAGTGGAGGAGAAGGGGGCGGAGGCCTGCCTGGCGTGTTTGTGCAGGGCTCCCGTTCACCTAGCGAGGAGTTTGACTTCGGGGCGTGGCCCTGCAAGCACACAGGAGCGCGTTGCAAAGGCATGGATTTGAATTTTAACGAACCGGATAATGCTGACATTGGGATTTGCAGGGCATGAGTTTTCCACTCCAGTGTCCACATCAGGGTTTGCAGCCAAAGTGACAGGTTGAGAATCCCCGGCTAAGGTGGTGAGATTTCATACCCTCCAACATTACTCTGATGAAAATAGGGACAGCCTATTCAATAATAATAATAATAATAATAATAATAATACAGTGGTACCTCGGGTTAAGTACTTAATTCGTTCCGGAGGTCTGTTCTTAACCTGAAACTGTTCTTAACCTGAAGCACCCCCTTATCTAATGGGGCCTCCTGCTGCCGCCATGCCACCGGAGCACAATTTCTGTTCTCATCCTGAAGTAAAGTTCTTAACCCGAGGTACTATTTCTGGGTTAGTGGAGTCTGCAACCTGAAGCTTATGTCACCTGAAGCGTATGTAACCCGAGGTATAATAATAATAATAATACAGTGGTACCTCGGGTTAAGAACTTAATTCGTTCTGGAGGACTGTTCTTAACCTGAAACTGTTCTTAACCTGAAGCACCACTTTAGCTAATGGGGCTTCCCACTGCTGCCCCCGCACGATTTCTGTTCTCATCCTGAAGCAAAGTTCTTAACCCGAGGTACTATTTCTGGGTTAGCAGAGCCTGTAACCTGAGTTACCACTTTAATAATAATTACTATTTATACCCTGCCCATCTGACTAGGTTGCCCCAGCCACCCTGGGTGGCTTCCAACATACATAAAAACATAATAAAACATTAAGCATTTTTTTAAAAAAAACAAAACACCTTCCCTACACAGGACAGCCTTCAGATGGCTCGGGGGTTGGATAACGCCTCCAACATTTCTCTGACGAAAATAGGGATGTCCTAAGGAAAAGCAGGACATTCTGGGATCAAATCAGAAACCAGGAAGGTTTCTGTAAATCCAGGACTGTCCCTGAAAAGAAGGGACACTTGGAGTGTCTGAGATTTGTGAGTGGGTACTCTGATGTGGTTGCACACCCAGTGGTGCCATTGGGGAGAGCTGGGGGGCAGATGTCTGGGAACCCGCTACACAACAGAATAAGCAGGAGGGCTCCCTAGGGCAACAGGGCTGGCTAATTGTACTTTGAAGCCATTCACATTGCCGTCGAAAGAGAGACTCTTTCCCCACCCATCACCCGCTGCATGGCAGGTAAGTTCAGGATCCAAAATCCCTGCACTGCTGTGCACAGACCTTCTTAGCTGACTGACCTACTAAAACTTTGCTGAGATCATTAGCTCTTCTCTCTCCCAATCCCCAGAGCCTCAGGGCCTCCGAGCCTTCGCTATCCCTAATGAATCTTGACATTTCTTCACCATGTCACCCAGCTTGCAAATTTCGAGACCAGCCCTGAATTTCGTAGCTATTGCCTAGCAGAAGCAGTCTTGCTTGTTGATATAAATATATATTAGGAGGAGGAATAATAATTAATGCCTTGCAAATCCACACAACACACGATCTGGTTTAAATGCTCTGAGAGTCTCTTGAGAGTCTGTGTAGGCTCCTAGAAATGTACCCAGCCCCCCAGCCCCAGCAAGCCAAGTACACGGAAGATACTGGAAATGCGCCTGAAGTGAGATAAAAGTTCAGAGTTCACGTCATCCAAAGCCATCGGCAAATAAGAGAGGCTTGGTTTATTTGCAAGGATCTAATGCAAACAATGGACACTGCACACAAAAGCACTTAGGTCCAAAGAACTCAGATAGAACACCTCAGGGTACACATAGTATCTTGTCTATTGATCTAAGGTCTCACAAGAACAGCACATTCACTCTGCTCAGTTAACTCCATCCAGCTTTTTAAGAAAATAGAGAGTCATGCTTTTCGGCCTCGTTTTTAGGAAAGTACAGGACAACTTGGCTTCTTTCCAGACGCTGCTCTTTACCAAGTGTCCTTGGGAAAGTCACTTGAGCCCATCTGCCTCTGTACAAACTATTCAGTGCACAAATATTCAGGCCCTTAGTACACTAACATGAAGCATGAGCCATATGGAGCTGGGAAGATGCTGATGATACTGGTGATATTGATGCTTTAAAAAGACCAGTGTTAATCTAACCTCCATGTAAGCTTTCTGCAAGCCAATCAGGATGAATGCTTAAATAAACAGGTTATCTAGAGGCACCCAGGGATGGGGCTCAAGTTGCACTGCATTTTATTTATGCATTTATTAAGAATACAGATTTCCAATACTAATTCAGTTCTGCAAGTATAATTTTTAATTGGTGCTTTGCAGTAGTTATGCACATAAAACTGGGCCATGGAAAGGACTCAATAAGCTGGCCTGGATTTGTTAGGCCACTGTAAATTAAAGTAACCCTCAAAAATTAGGCTTCCAGGAGCACACATAAGCACAAAATTGCTGCAAGAAGTCAATTTACAGTAGAGAGAATGGCTGTGCCAACTTTGGTATTCTTGTCTTTACAGAGCAGCCTTCCATATTATTATCTATTGTCTGTACTGCAATACTCACAGAGATCACTATCAAAATAATGGCTACGTGTTCTGTCATCACTCTTAAAAGCTTGACTGTGGGGGTTTTTGGGGGGGGTAACAAAAGGCATCCTCATTCCACATCTCTGGCATGGGGAAACCTGACTTTCATTTACGTGGCTGCCAGTGAGAGATGTTAGTGTTCAGGATTGTCACTGAAGGAATGTGACAATATACAAAAGAGCAAAATACTTAAGACAAAATTGCTTAAGGACCTAACCACACTAGAAAACCTTGCAAGAAAATGACTGCACATAAAGCATTTAGTGTCCTGTTTTTGGCAAGGCATTGAAACAGAAGCTATCCCATGATTTACAGTAGTAACTATCCAAACATTTGAGCAATGTTTTCTGTAGATAATATTGTCCAAGTTTGGTCAAAGGCCAATTCTATACTCTCTTTCAACATGTTGCTAAAATAAATAAGCCATGCAGGTTGTTGAATAAGCAGAGAGCAACTCCCATCGCAGGAGCGTTCCAATTTGTGTAATCCCATTTCCCACTGAATCCGGTATCAACAATTTCCTTCCAGTTATTATTGGCTTGAGATTTCACTTTGAAAGTCAACAATGTCAGGGGTGCCTGGAGAACATATCTGGGTGCAGGAGTGCCAACTTGGCCCCACTACTGCGGGTGCCCGGGACCGTGGGTGCCATGCCGCGTGCATGGCCCTGGCAACAAAATTTGTGGGTGCCTGGCCTCTTCATGGGGAGCTTTGTGGGTGCTTGGGCACCCAGGGCCCCAGGGAGTTGTCACCTATGTCCGGGTGGCTCATATACCAAGTCCATATTGGTACCCTAAGTTGCCAGTCAAGCTGACCATTAGACAATTGTAGCATTGAGATGCTCACTGGGCCCCCCCCCCCAGAAGCCATGATGACGTGGGGCTCTGTGGTGTCCCAAAAGGAGAAAAATTTAAAAAATAAAGGAAGTATTTCCAGACACCAGTAGTTGCCAACTTAGCATAGCAGATCATTTATGGATGAGACGTTAGTTGTCAGAACTGAGTTATCTTTCTTATCATTGCATTTTAGACTACTCTAATCTTCACCACACACGATGTGGAAGCAAGTCCTATTGATCTCAGTGCTCTAAAATTCCAAGCAACATGTTTAAGAGTGGGTTTCAGCATTTAATTTCATACAAAATCCCATGAATTGGGATGTGTGTTGAACTTTAAAATGCAGGCAACTTATGCAGGAATGGTGAGGCAGGTTTGAGAAGAAGAAGAAGAAGAAGAATTTGGATTTGATATCCCGCCTTTCACTCCCTTTAAGGAGTCTCAAAGCGGCTAACATTCTCCTTTCCCTTCCTCCCCCACAACAAACACTCTGTGAGGTGAGTGGGGCTGAGAGACTTCAAAGAAGTGTGACTGGCCCAAGGTCACCCAGCAGCTGCATGTGGAGGAGCGGAGACTCAAACCCGGTTCCCCAGATTACGAGACTACCGCTCTTAACCACTACACCACACTGGCTCAGAGCGAACATGCATCCTTGGCATGGAAAACAGCTCCCTGATCTAGTATTTCACATGGTGATGTCTCATTACAAGTTATAAAGTTCAAAGTGCTTGTATTAACATATAAAGTCCTACGCAGCTTAATACCTTAATACTTACTAGCTTGCCTGCTCCCGATATAGCAGCCTATATACATTAAGATCAGGTGGCAACATCCTTTTAACTGCACCACGCTTACTGAGTGTGCTATTTGTGTGAGGGCATTCTTCATAGGGTATCCCAGTTACGCAATGCCAACCCTCACAGCTGCAGCCGCTGCTGACCATAATAGGTTTTATGCTTCTTTTGAAGATATTTCTATTTACTCGGGCATTTGGACGATTTATTGGGAAGTGATTTCACCTTCACTGAGCTGGATTGTGACTTGATTTATATTTATTGTTTTTGTTTGTTTTAAGACTGCATGATGATGATGATGATGTATTTGTGCTTTGGTGTTGTTCCCCTGTCTAAGATTTATTTTAATGAAAATAGGACCAAAAAATGCCATTAATAATAATAACATAGTAATAATAATTTATTATTTATACCTCACCCATCTTGTAAAATCATTGCAGGAGATCTTGGGGTCCTTACCAGGCCCCGATGGTGCAGGTGGTTCCGTTAAATTGCGAACAATCTGAAAGAATATCCTGCTGCTGTTTTCTGCAGATGCAATAGAGGCGGTGAAGAAGGTCCTCTTCACCATCGCTATCACCACTTGGTAGGCTCGACGCTGAGCTCTAACCTGTGTCCGGTCAAATTTAGAATGAGTTTTCCTCCACCGGCGCTCTAGCCGTCTCAACGAGTGTTTCATTGCCCTCAGCTCTGAGGAAGACCACTGGGCTGTCCAGGCTCCATGCAGTTAGAGAGGGCGCTTCGGAGCCAGACAGTCGATAGCCCTGGTTAACTCCACATTCCAGCGGGCCACCAGGGAATCAGCTGAAAGGCCATCAACATGGGATAAAACGTCCCCTACCACTCTCTGGAAATAAAAACTTAGAAAACTGTGTTCGCATCATGGGTGAAGAACTTACTTCATTTTGCCTTAGAATATTACATCTGCTACAAAGGGGCATATTTCCCCATTTGAGCTTTCCCCCCTATGTATCTAGATATCTAGATACATAGATATCTAGAATTGTTAAGGAAGCCTGTGAATAGAGATTGCAGTAATATTGAATCTGTTAAGGTGCTATGTACCTAAGCCATATTTAGAGCAGACCTACTGAAATCAATGCACTTAAGCCTTCCCCAAGTATGACTATTGCTGAATAGCAACCTTAATTCATAACACTATAGGCTGTAATTTAGTGTGGGGCACAGATTAAATTACATGGAATTTGTACTTTCTGAATTGAAAAGAGAGCAATCAAAGCAAGAACCTGTCTCTTTTAAAGCATTCATGGGACATAATGAATACTAGAAGACTGTCAATAAGACAACACAGATGCTACTTAATGAGGCAGAATCTCGGGGGGAATCTTACTGAGCCTACAGTAATCAAGCTGCCATTATTAACTTATAAAAACACAGAGGCCTCTACCTCTAATTCAACCTTAATAAAATCACCATAGCAGCCTCGAGGAATAAAATTGCTCAAAATATTTAGTTGATAATATAGATCACTAATTCCCAAAGGTTCGGGGTAAGTAAAAATAAAATGAAATTAAAAAACAAACATAAAACTATTCCATTAAAATTGCAATTAAGCTGCAAATTTAAAATCTCAGAAAATGTGAGCTCTTCTCTCCCCAACATGTTGGTTCAGACTCTCAGGCTTCAAAAGCCAGTCTTAATGAACAGAGTCTCCCAGGGTTCCGAACAAAGCTTAAGACTTGGGACATGCATTTCCAACACTGGTTGACATCTGGAAGAACGATTCACTACAGACAATTTTATCATCCCTTCATGTCAATTCAAAAACTGATACTTAAATGGAGATAAAAAGGTAAAGGTGAAGGGACCCCTGACCTTTAGGTCCAGTCGTGACTGACTCTGGGGTTGCGGCGCTCATCAAATGTTGATCAAGGTGGCTGGGGCAAACTAGTCAGATGGGCAGGGTATAAATAGTAAAAATTATTATTATTAATATTATTATTATTATTAATGTCCCTATTTTCATCAGAGAAATTTTGGAGGGTATGTAAATGTGAGATGTACAGGGAGCGGGCAGGTGGTACAACTACCAGCTTCTAGCAGATATAAGAAGTGGAACTAGGAATCTGCAAGTAATCTTCCAAACTATACTAAAGGGACAGTTTCAAGCTCTGTACCTTCTTAGTCCCATGAAATCAATGGAATCCTCTGGTTGTTGGCTGCCTCTTAGCAAACGCCATCAAGTTTAGTAACAGTTGGTGGGCACTTGGGTGGCACAAGGAAGGAAACAGGCAGCTAAACCAAGCCTGCTGCCATCAGTTGTGCCATGCTATTGGCACTCTGTGCTGAAAAACAACCGCCTTCTTAATAGCAAGTTTAGATATAAGAAAAGCAACAAAGCAAAGCTCCAGAGCTCACAGATCTCACCAAGGGAGAAATCATGATCTCTCCACAAATTGCCGCAAAACTACAATACACCCACTTTCCCAATTTACCTAATGTCTGAACTGCTTCTCAGCAAAGCAAGACTTTCTTTCAGGATGCTTTGTTCTAGTTCTACATCCTTAGAAGATGCCTGCTTTGATGTAAGGTTGCCAAATCTTCGTCCACAGAGATTATCCCTGGCATTTTAAACCAGGGGTGGCGGACCTGTGAACCTCTAAATACTCTGGACTCCAGTGCCCATCAGCTCCAGCCAACATAGCCAGTGGTGAGGAATGATGGAAGTTAAGAGTCCAACGACATCTGGAAGGCTACAGGTGAGACATCCCAGAGCATGTCCTCCAGATAGACTACGGAGATTATTCTGCCCCACCTACTTTCCTCTCACATCTGCCATGTGTAAACAACAACAGCAGCCTAGAATCCTGCTCATTACTACAAGGGGAATGTAAGCAAAGAGGCTGGCAGAGGAACAGGGGAGGGAGTACAGTATTAACATCCTCTCTTGGTGCTTTTGATTTTATTGAAATAGACCAAAGGATAAAAAGCTGTAAAATGAACCAAACATATAATTGTGGGGTTTTATTGGTGGTTTTTAAAATTATGTTATGTATTTTGTGTTTTCATTTTGTATTTTTATGTTGTAGACTACCCTGTGGTCTTCAGATGAAGGGCAGTATAGTAATAATAATAATAATAATAATAATAATTTCAAAATCAAGACTGCTACATTTAAATGATAGTGGCAGAGGGAGGAGATTGGCACTATTCTCATATAGCAACTTCAACAAGAAATCCTACTTGGTCTTACTGCATGACTGAATATTGTTTAAAATAGAGACAGGGAACCCTCCAAATGTTGTTGGACCTCTCCAATTCACATCAGCCCAAGCCAGCACAGCCAAGGGCCAGGAAGAATGTTGCAGGATGTAGCTCAGCAACATCAGAAAGACCACCATTTCTTTGTTGCTGCATTAAAATTAGTGCTATCCTAGCAAGAGAGTAAGATGCGGGTGGTGCTGTGGGTTAAACCACAGAGCCTAGGGCTTGCAGATCAGAAGGTCGGTGGTTCGAATCCCTGCAACGGGGTGAGCTCCCTTTGTTTGGTCCCAGCTCCATCCCATCTAGCAGTTCGAAAGCAGGTCAAAGTGCAAGTAGATAAATAGGTATCGCTCCGGCGGGAAGGTAAACGGCATTTCCATGCGCTGCTCTGGTTCGCCAGAAGTGACTTAGTCATGCTGGCCACATGACCCGGAAGCTGTACGCCGGCTCCCTCGGCCAAGAAAGCGAGATGAGCGCCACAACCCCAGAGTCGGCCACGACTGGACCTAATGGTCAGGGGTCCCTTTACCTTAGCAAGAGAGTCAGAGTTAGGGAGCACACCATAAACCCATCTCCATTCTCAGACTTTCCAATCTAACCAAGATAGAGCACAACACTAGAAAGACCTTTGGAATTACTTTAATATCTACCTGGACACCTGGTTATTATCCTGATTCTTCAGTTTGATACTGACAGCACTGCAGCATCAGTGACAGCCCTGCCTGCAAACTGAATGGTTCAGTAGGAAATGAAAGGAGATCAGCAGAGACCAGCTGAAATGTCTTTGCAAAATTCAGCCACTTCCACTTTGAACTGTATTTGAACTTAGCGCCATGAGAGTTCACTCTCTGATTCTTCCACCAAGTAATCCACACACTCCCCTATCCACCTCTCACACTGTTTGCGACATCTGTGCAACCGTCTCTTACACATCCCCTTGAGAGGTCTTATTTGTGGCTGGTTCAAGAGGTGTTGCTAACAATTACTCACAGATACAAATGGCCTTTAATAACCTGCGCTCTAATTCCCTGGATTTCACCAGTATCTTTAGCAGAGAGCAGCAATCAATATTAATTAAGAGCACGTGGTTCTGGCCTGTCAAGCTGTTGCATCCCAAAGGAACATTAACGCTGTTCCTCTTAATTATCCCGCTCTCCCTAGATAGCAAAAATCTAGGTCCACAAAGTGAACCAAAGGAGAAAGCATGGAAATGGCTGGAATAAAGAACTGTGACCTTTGTAGTGAGGCAGCCAAGTTGCAAAGAAGGACGCAGAGGGCTCCTCTACCTCGAATGGTTATAACCAAAATAGAAATTTCAACAGATGCTATTTTTTCTTCCATGTATGAAAAGCTCCAGCTTTCAACATTCTCTCTTCTATACAGCCCTGTTCTCCATTGCGCTGTTCACACTCCAGGTGTTACTGAAGTCCCATCACTCTGACCATTGACCACACTGTTCAGGCTGATGGGAACTGGAGTCCAACAGCATCTGAAGGCCCAGAGGTTCCCCAGGCCTTATCACACCAACGCCAAAATTCAGTGCCCCCCTCTCTGCCTCTTGCCTTCCATTCCACACCATAGTTGTGGCACCCCCTCCAGCACCCCTTAGGTTCTTCGCCCAGTGCACCCAAACTGGTCTCATTCCCCTAAATCGGTCTCTGCCAATGTGACTGCATTATTGCCATCTGAAGCAGCACTCTTGAGCTATAAAGCAAGACAGAAGAAACCTGGAACATTTCGGTATAAAAAGTCACAGGCTTTCAACGGGAAGGTACAGGCACTGTTTGGAAGTAGAAGAAGAAGAAGAGTTTGGATTTGATATCCCGCTTTATCACTACCCGAAGGAGTCTCAAAGCGGCTAACATTCTCCTTTCCTTTCCTCCCCCACAACAAACACTCTGTGAGGTGAGTGAGGCTGAGAGACTTCAGAGAAGTGTGACTGGCCCAAGGTCACCCAGCAGATGCATGTGGAGGAGCGGAGACGCGAACCCGGTTTCCCAGATTACGAATCTACTGCTCTTAACCACTACAACACACAGTTCGTCCTGAAACCTTTGCAGGGAAAAAGGTGCAAGACCTGACCCTACATCCTCATGAACGCACAATAAAAAGGCCCCAGGTTGAGGAAGGCTTCTCAATACTAAAACTGTCAGACTTTTCAGATATTGCATATGACCCAACAAAGCAGGGCAATCCCAATCCCAAAACAGAGAGGTAAGTATTGTGCCCACCAAGTACGTACAGTGGCCTGTCACCATAGCCAAAGATTCGCGGAGAACAGAACCTAAATTGATGGGTGAAGGATCTCTCTCTGGCAGGATATAAATTATTCCGGACACTTCCACTGTGTGTCTCTGCACCTGCACTGAGCAGACCAGTTTCCCTACATCTAAGTAGATTTCACTTACGAGAGCACACACAGTTTACAGACTAGTCAGAGAGAGAAATGGAAAACATTTCTAAGCACCGGCATCTCAAAAGTATGTGCAGGGATCAAGCAAATGAAAGTGAGGGAGGGAAACAGCATGGAACATATCTATAATCTGTTCTGCCCAGACCAGTGAGCATGTCTGTTCTAACAGCCAGTGAATATATTAGCAGAAACAGAAGTTTAATGGAAGAACGAGACAGAAATAAGAATTAATCTGGAACATATTCCTAGTTCTTCAGAAAAAAATCAACAAGAGTCTTGTGGCATCTCAAAGATTAACAAATGTTATTACAACATAAGCCTTCATGGACTAGAGTTTGTCCACAAAAGCTTACACTATAATAACGTTTGTTAGTGTGATGGGAAGATGAGCTGCTTGTGCGTAAAATCGTATTCCCTCAGAGTTTGTTCAAGTCCACAAACCTCTGTCTGTGACTGAGCCCCTCTGACATGGCTCCTCTAGTCACTAGAAGATTCCGACAGTGGCTGCTTTCGTAATCGCTTCCAACATAAAAGCTCCTTAACGGAAACACGTCTTCTGGACTCTCTGCGTGACAGTTTCCGGCGAGGAGTGGGTGTCCCTACAGGAGGTCCGGAAACCTCACCACTGTTTTCGCTGGAAGTATCTCTGAGCCATCCCCCCAGCTCCCTTTCCCTCAGTTCAGCTTCTCTCCCCCTGCTGGTTTCCTCTTCAGCTGCTGAGTCTCTTCCAACCTGTCTGAGCCCTTTCACCTCCCTCAGTTCAGCTTCTCCCCGTGCTGGTTCCCTCTTCCGCTGCTGAGTCTCTTCCAACCTGTCTGAGTCCTTTCACCTCCCTTCCTTCCGATGGCAGTTCCCTGACATCCACCTCCCCTCCAGGGCCCCCTTCACCCCCTCTCGCCCCCTCCTCTACGGGCGGTGAGGAGGCAAAACCCCGGAATGAACTTCCTTCATCTTCCGATGTCTCGAACACTTCTCTCCACCTGTTGCGGTTCCTGGTCTCGAAGCACTCCTCCTCCTCCGAGTCCATCTCCCCTTCCCCTTCCGATTCTGGGAATCCTTCCAACTCCTCCTCCTCCTCAGTGGTCCCAAAGTATTCCCTCCGGAACCTCTCCACAGGCTGAGGTTTCCTCGGGAACCTTTGATGGAACGTTTCTATCAATACCTCGTCATTGATATCTTCGGCCATTACCCACGTGTTTTCTGACTCCGGTTCTCCTTCCCACGCTACCAAATACTCCACCTGATTCCCCTTCCACCTGGCATCAAGGATTTCTGCCACATGACTGCTGCATTCTCTTTCTTCTATGACCGGTCCCGAGTGGCCATCCCTTCTCGTCCCCCCTCGTACGGTGACAGTAACGACCTGTGAAATACTGGGTGCAGTTTCATGTGGTTGGGTAACCGGAGCCTGAAAGCCACTGGGTTGACCTGTTGAATGACCTCAAAGGGACCCAACCTCCTGGGTCTTAATTTCTTACAACCTCCTTTGAACGGCAACCCTCGGGTTGACAGCCACACCCTATCTCCAACCCTTATGGTTTCACCTTCCCTTCGGTTCTTGTCTGCCTGCCTCTTGTATTCTTCCTTCGCCCTTTCTAAGTTGAGTTGGAGCTGACGGTGGATTGCTTCCATTTCTTCTACAAAATGCTCGGCTGCCGGTACGCTCCATCTCTCCCCTTCTCCCCTGGGAAAGCCCTGGGATGACACCCATAATTAGCCAAGAAGGGGCTCATCCCTGTGGACACATTCTCGGCATTGTTGTAGGCAAATTCCGCCAGCGCCAACTTTTCTACCCAGTCATTCTCTCTGTCATTGACATAACACCTCAGGTATTGCTGGAGGACACCGTTTGCTCTTTCCGCCTGCCCGTTGGTTTCAGGGTGCCGGGCAGTCGAAAAGTTGACCTCCACCTGCAGTAAGCTCATGAGCTTCCTCCAGAACCTGGAAGTAAATTGTTTTCCTCGGTCTGAGACCACCCTCAATGGCACCCCGTGCAACCTAAAAATGTGTTCTACAAATAACTTCGCTGTCTCTTCCGCCGTGACTGCATGCGAGCAAGCTACAAAGTGGCACATCTTTGTTAGTAGGTCTACCACCACCATGATGGCTGTTTTCCCTTTGGACTTCGGCAGATCAGTCATAAAATCTATCGACACTGCCTCCCAAGGTCGTTCTGGTGTTGGTAAGGGTTCTAACAGCCCCGCCGGCGCCCGCCTTTCCCCTTTGGCTCGCTGGCACTGCTCGCACCCTCTTACATACTCACGTACATCCTCCCTCACCTTAGGCCACCAAAATTCCCTGGTGACCAACCACATGGTTTTGTGTTGCCCAAAATGCCCGCCGTGGGGCTGTCATG